GAGGGTGTTGATGAGGGTTACGAAGTAGGCTTGTTTGGCGGCATGGAGGGAGGAGGTGTAGGTGAGGAAGACAGATTTGTAGAGGAAGAACACTCGAGGCGATCTGGTTTTGCTCCATAATCGCTCCAGCACATGACTGCGTCATTTAAGATTTTTAGTGTGGTCATTCTGCCAGGGTTGAAGCAGTCGGGGTCTAATGCTACGTGTGGTTAGGGGTGCTAAGGAGTCCAAGGCAGCTGACAGCGAGTCGTTGTACGCAGTAGTGGCCAGGTCAGGGCATGACAGTGGAAGGATACTGTCGTACAGACGGTCAGCTGCAGAATGGAGTGGGGCCGGGTTCAGGTTGCGGAGGTTACGGCTGGTGATGGTTTGACGTTTGGGGGGGAGCATTATAGGACGGGGAGATGGAGAACGTAATGAGGTTCTGGTCAGAGAGAGGGAAAGGGGTGTTTGTGAGGTTGTGGAGGGTGCAGAGATGGGAGAAAATGAGGTCCAGGGTATTCCCATTGGTGGTGTGGGCGGAGGACTGTGTGCACTGTGTGAGTGCAAAAGAAGAGGTTAAATTGAGGAGTTGGGATGTAGCCGGATTGTTGACATTGATAGGGATATTAAAGTCTTCAAGGATGATGGTGGGTAGCTCAGAGAGAGGAAGAAGAGCAGCCAGATGGGAAAGTCTTCAAGGAAGCTGGATACTGATCCAGGAGGCCGATAGATTACTGCAATCCTCAGAGGGGTGGGAGAGAACGGTCAGATGCAATGGGTCTCGAAGGAGGAGAAGGATAGAGAGGGGGGGTTTGGGAGGACCTGGAAGGTGGTCAGCGGTGACAAGAGCACACCGACCCCACCACCTCTATGGCTGCTCGGTCTGTGTGAATGGGACCAGACAAGACCTCCATAGGAGAGTGCCGCAGGGGAGGCGGAGTCAGTGGCTTTGATCCAGGTTTCAGTGACCGCTAGGAAGTTGAGGGAGTGGGAGAGATAAAGAGGTCATGGATGGCAGTGAGCTTGTTGCAAACCGATCGGGCAGTTCAGGAGTGCAACCGAGAGTGGAGGGGTGGGAGATTGCGGGGAGGAGGGGACAGGTGTAAGGTTGAGGGGGTTGCGGCGGTTCGTGGGGGTAGGAGGGTGCCTAGTCGTTGAGTGAGGTGAGGAATTGCCCCATTATTGAGGTGAGGAATAGTGCCCCATTATTGGTATCAGTGGGAGGAATAGTGTTCCATCATTGGTATCAGTGGGAGGAATAGTGCCCCATCGTTGGTATCAGTGGGAGGAATAGTGCTCCATCATTGGTGTCAGTGGAATAAAAAGTACACCATCACTGGTGTCAGTGGAAGGAATAGTGCCCCATTGTTGATGTCAGTGGGAAGAATAGTGTCCCATCATTGGTGTCAATGGAAAGAATAGTGTCCCATCATTGGTGTCAGTGGGAGGAACAGTGTCCCATCATTGGTGTCAGTGGGAGAAATAGTGCCCCACTACTGGTATTTGTGGAATGCAATAGTGCCCCATCACTGGTGTCAGTGGGTGTCTGTGTTGGTGGGAGTAATAGTGCCCCATCATCTGTGTTGGTGGGAGGAATAGTGCCCCATCATTAGTATCAGTGGGAGGAATAGTGTTCCATCATTGGTATCAGTGGGAGGAATAGTGCCCCATCATTGGTATCAGTGGGAGGAATAACGCCCCATCATTGGTATCAGTGGGAGGAATAGTGCCCCCTCATTGGTGTCAGTGGAAGGAATAGTGCCCCATCATTGGTGTCAGTGGAAGGAATAGTGCCCCATCATTGGTATCAGTGGGAGGGATAGTGCCCCATCATTGGTGTCAGTGGAATAAAAAGTGCACCATCACCTCTGTCAGTGGAAGGAATAGTGCCCCATTGTTGATGTCAGTGGGAAGAATAGTGTCCCATCATTGGTGTCAGTGGGAAGAATAGTGTCCCATCATTGGTGTCAGTGGGAAGAATAGTGTCCCATCTTTGGTGTCAGTGGGAGAAATAGTGCCCCACTACTGGTATTTGTGGAAGCAATAGTGCCCCATCACTGGTGTCAGTGGAGGGAATAGTGCCTTATCATTGGTGTCAGTGGGAGAAATAGTGCCCCACACTACTGGTATTTGTGGAAGCAATAGTGCCCCATCACTGGTGGGGTGGATGCGGGGAGGAGGGGGACAGGTGTAAGGTTGAGGGGGTTGCGGCGGTTCGTGGGGGTAGGAGGGTGCCTAGTCGTTGAGTGAGGTGAGGAATAGTGCCCCATTATTGGTATCAGTGGGAGGAATAGTGCCCCATCATTGGTATCAGTGGGAAGAATAGTGTCCCATCATTGGTGTCAGTGGGAAGAATAGTGTCCCATCTTTGGTGTCAGTGGGAGAAATAGTGCCCCACTACTGGTATTTGTGGAAGCAATAGTGCCCCATCACTGGTGTCAGTGGAGGGAATAGTGCCTTATCATTGGTGTCAGTGGGAGAAATAGTGCCCCACTACTGGTATTTGTGGAAGCAATAGTGCCCCATCACTGGTGTCAGTGGGGGAATAGTGCCCCATCATTGGTATCAGTGGGAAGAATATTGCCCTTTCATTGGTTTCAGTGGGAGGAATACTGCCCATTATTGGTGTCAGTGGAAGCAATAGTGCCCCATCATTAGTATCAGTGGGAAGAATAGATCCCCAACGTTGTTGTCAGTGGGAGGAATAGTGTCCCATTGTTGGTATCATTGAGTAAAATATTGCCCCATCATTGGTGTCAGTGGAAGGAATAGTGCCCCATTGTTATTGTCAGTGGATTGAATAGTGACCTCTATTCTGTTCTATTCCCCTCCTGTCCTGCTTCTCCCTACCTGTCCCCCTGCCCCCCTCCTGTTCTGCAGACCCCACCTGTTCTGCTGCCCTCTCCTGTCCTATGGCCCACCGTTACACTGCCCCCCTCCTGTCACACTGCCCCCACCTGTCCCCCTGCCTTCTCCTGTCCCGTGGCCCCCCATCATGCTGCCCCCCTCCTGTCCCTCTGCCATCTCCTGTCTCGCTGCTCTCTCCATCATGCTGCCCCCTGCTGTCCTGCTTCCCCCCTCCTGTCCTGCAGTCCCCCCACCTGTCCTGCTGCCCCCTCCTGTCCCGTGGCCCCCCATTACACTGCCCCCCTCCTGTCCTGTGGCCCCTCATCATGCTGCCCCCCTCCTGTCCCACTGCCCTCACCTGTCCCACTGCTCCCTCCTGTCCCGTGGCCCCCTCGTCACGTTGCCCCCCCTCCTGTCACACTGCCCCATCACACTGCCCCCCCCCCCTCGTCATGCTGCCCCCCTCCTTTCCTGTCCTGAAGGGGTGGATCTTAAACATGAAGGGATAGGACCCATTTAGAGGGGGGGGGGGGCAGGCGCCTGATTTTAGTCTTGCCTAGGGCAGCACAAAACCAAAATTCCCCTTTGGATGCATGACATTGCAAATAAAGGGTCGTGTGCATTTTTTTCCCAATGTGGAAAACAGCCCATTTATGCAAACACATGCAATGCAGTAGATTGCTAATAATGGTCCCACAAAGAAACCGGACAAAATCCTTACCTTGGACCCGGGGTTTCTTCCACTGCCTAATTGCTTATATTTTGCCCCCCCTCTCCCTCCCCCACTAATATGTTAATTATATTAAATAGATGAAATAGATAATGAAATGAAATAGATTGAGTGGTGTCATCCCTGGATCACTGTGCTTCTCTATGCAATGCAGGAAGAACATGGCTGGTGGGAGAGGTTGTCGGAGTGCTGCACAAAGCTTTCTGAAATCATCATCTCAAGGGCCCCCAGTGGGCTGGTTCTTGGGAGGAGTTATGCAAATATCAAAATGCCTTTCTGGGGGGATGTCAGCCTGGAGGAGTGTGTACTCCTAGTAGGCTGCATGTACATGCACACCTGTATATGCAGGTAATGTAAACTGTGATACTGAGCCTCTGTATTTAACCCCTCATCCTCCAGAGTATTTACCATCCCCCCCCCTTCCTGACCAGGCCAGTTGCGGCGCTGTTACTTTAACTGACAATGGCACGGTCATGCAACACTGCACACAAATGAAATTTACATCCTTTTTCCCCACAAATAGAGCTTTCTTTCAGTGGTATTTGATCCCCTCTGCGGTTTTTTTATCTTTTGCACTATAAATGAAAAAAAGACCGACAATTTTGAAAAAAAAACCATTATTTTTGGACTTTTTGCTATTAAACATGTTAAGTATAAAAAATATTAAAAATCAAATTTGGACATAAATTTCGGCCAGAATGTATTCTGCTCCATGTCTTTGCTAAAAAAAAATCCCAATATGTGCAAATTAATTGGTTTACGTTAAAGTTATAGTGTTTACAAATGGCGGTATAGATACTGGGATTTTTTTTTCATTTTTTTTAATACTAGTAATGGCTGCAATCAGCGACTTATAGCGAGACTGCGGCGGGAATTCTGACACTGGGGGAGGGGACTGATTTGGTGTCACTGACATCCCCAGTGACACCAATACAGTGATCAGTGCTAATAAAAAGCACTGACACTGTACTTATGGCACTGGGCAGGAAGGGGTTAACATGTGGGGCCATCAAAGGGTTAACTGTGTGATGTGTGTGATTTACTGTGTAAGCATACTATACAGAGCCATACAAAGCAGAATGCTGGTGCTGACAGGGGAGAGATATGTATTGTTTACATACAGACCTGTCCCCTGTCAGTGTTCCTTGGCGATTGCTGGGTGCCGGCGGAGAATCTCCAGCCGGGAACCGGCGATCGACAGCTGTAGTCACCAATGGTGGTGTGGGTAAAGCAGCAGCACGCCCCCCCCCCACCTGGAAATGCAAAATCACGTATATATACATGATTTTGCGCAGCCCTGCCACCCTGTAGCAGTATTTATGACCTTGTCCCCGACACTGCCCACAGATAATGCCAAGCAACCATTGCTGGCTTCCATGTAGAGAAGTGGCTGCAAAGACACCGCAGGAGATCAGAAGTACTGAAATGTAACAAAGTATGAAGCAGGGGCGGACTGACCATTTGGAAACTCGGGCACTGCCCGAGGGCCCGGGGTCAGTAGGGGGCCCCATGAGATGCCCCTGGTACCTTTTTCATAGGCTTTTTTGAGTTTGGGCAAGGACACAGGGGCCCCATGATCCCCTATTGCCCGGGGGCCCCATGAGTTGTCAGTCCGCCCCTGGTATGAAGACAAGTATTTTTTTAAATGACTGTTGCCTGTGACACATGGTGCTTTAGCATACTGACATTTTGTTTTACAAGATTTTTTTACCCCAGATTCACACCTAAGCGTTTTCTGCAGCATTTTGCAGAAACGCAGTACAATCCATTTAACATGATTTCCTATGGGACACGTTCACATCTTTGCGATTTCATCCGGTGCGTTTTTTTTTAAAGGGTCGGGGACTTTTTTTTTACTCTATAGACTTCAATGGAAACACTGCAGTAAAGCGTGTAGTGTTTTTTTGCCATGTTTTTGATGCATTTTGCTGTTTTAAATCTGCCTAGCAACAAGAGAAAAAAAAAAAAAATTAAGAAGCAAAACGCGTCAAAAACGCAGGTGCAAAAACGCGAACCCCAATGTAGAAATGGGTCAAAAGCAACCTGCATAGGTGTGAACCTAGACTGAATCTTTCCTTACCCTATGTTCACACCTATGTATTTTCCAGAAATGCAGTACAGTCCATTTCACATGATTTCCTTTGGGACACGTTCACATCTCCACGTTTTCACCCGGTGGGTCAGGGTCTTTTTTGAACGCAAAAAGTTGCGTTTTTGGTTCTATAGACTTCAATGGAAACACGGCAGAAAAGCATGTATTGCGTTTTTTCTTCATTTTTTCAGTTTGATGCGTTTTAAATCTGCCTTGCAACAAGAGAAAAAGCAAAACGCGTCAAAAATGCAGGTGCAAAAAGCATGTAGTGCGTTTTTTGACACTTTTTAATGTTTTTACTGCATGTTTGATGCGTTTTGTGTTTGAAATCCACCTAGCAACAATAAAAATGAAAAAAAAAAAGTGGCAAAAATGCAACGCAAAGTGCAATGCAGAAACGGCTCAAACGCAACCTGCACAGGGGGGAACCGAGCCTAAGGGAGATGATTTGATGACACAATTCCGTCCACTTCGTAGAAATAAGAGTTTAACTCGATGTTCTTGTACCACTTTTATTTTTCCCCCAAAACAGAATAAAGCAGCAATGTGCAGTCGGAGTCTGCAGTCCCAGCAGGTAGCAGGAGGAATAATGCCAGTTTAACATTAGAACGCAAATAAAATAACTTCCAAATGCTGCGCGGCGCTTCTGAGAGTTCTATTATGCGGCTCGAAGTGTTCGGCTTGAAAGAACAACGTGATAACTGATTTACATAGTTATTATTTTAGCTGCACAGTGGAGTCGTCTCAAATTTGTGTTTTGGTTAAAATAAAATTAGCATTGACTATGTCGAGAAAATAGAAGGTGCAAGAAGAGAGCGGTCCACGTCCTTCGCAGGCATCTTTGTTGCCAGTTTCTACGCACGGACACTGGAAATCATGCATGGGATGTAGCGGATGGCCATTCCACATTACTTCTCGTGTTAAAGTGTTCCTAAACCCACCACAGTACAATCTGTCTGTATATGCGGTAAAGCGTGCTTGTTATACTCACTGCGGTACCTAAGGGGTTAGTCCTCTGCATTGTGTAAAAAGGCTGTTTGATCCTGTCTTCTCTGATCCTCCCCTTCTTCTACTGTCCCCAATCTATCTGCTGATAGTACAGAGCCCTAGGAGGTGTTCTGCACATGCTCATCTGGACACTGATAGAAGTCACAAGACTGCTGATAAAAGTCATAAGAGCCTTGGGGGCAAGTTGCACATGCTCAGTTTGGTGTGTATTGCTAGAGAGTTTTTTCTTTTTTTTGGGGGGGAGGGGGGAGGGGTGCCTGTGATTGGCACAGGGCCAATCGGCACTGTCCAGACAGAGGGTCAGGGGTTATGCAGCCTCATAAGACAGTCAGAGGTGAATAGGCACTCCTCCTACAAGATTAACCAGTGCTCATCTGGACACTGATAGAAGTTGCAAGACTGCTGATAGAAGTCACAAGAGCCTTGGGGGCAAGCTGCACATGCTCAGTTTGATGTGTATTGCTAGAGAGTTTTTTTTGGAGGGTGGGGGGGGGTGCATGTGATCGGCACAGGGCCAATCAGCACTGTCCAGGGAGAGGGTCAGGGACATGCAGCCTTATAGGGGAGAATGAAAACTCCTACAAGCTTTAACCAGTACTCAGCTGGACACTAAGAGAAGTCACAAGACCGCTGTAACTGCTGATGAGAAAGGGTATTTAGCAGTTTATATTTATTATATATTTATTTCATGTACTTATATAGCGCCATCAATTTACACAGCGCTTTACATATATATTGTACATTCCCATCAGTCACTAACCCTCAAGGGGCGTACAATCTAAGGTCCCTAACTCACATTCATTCATACACATACTAGGGACAATTTAGCCAGCAGCCAATTAACCTACCAGCATGTCTTAGAAGTGGCAGGAACCCGGAGAACCTGGAGGAAACCCACTCAGGCACAGGGAGAACATGCAAACTCCAGGCAGATGGTGCCATGGTTGGGATTCGAACAAACTACCCTAGTACTGCCAGGCAGAAGAGTGCTGCCCATATTTGCTAAAATAATTGCAATTTCATGTTCTTTGTATTGTGGGAGACCAGATAAAGTGAATGCAGGGTCCGGGGTTTAGTAACATTTTAAAATCAAGTGTCGGATCTGTTCTGATCAGTGCCAATTAGGGGGCTTCACTGTCATTCTGATCTCAAGGCTGGGATGGCTGGTTGTATAGTATCATTGCTGGTGCGATGAGGGTCCTGAGGGATCTTCCTCATGGGGAGAAATCCAAACGGAGAGTCCACTATGTAAGTTGTGGGTCAGTAGTACTTCCTTAGTGTTGAGGGTTCTGATGGGCCCAGTTCCTCTTGATTCGAGTGGTGGTACCTTGTTTGGCCAGGGTTCAGGGAGGTGGAATGCTGGCAGTGTTGAGTGCCCCCTGGGAGTGGTGCCCTGGAGGCACTCTGAGTATCACTATGGGTTCTTCTCGGGCATTTTTGTAACCAGTTTCTTTGCAGTTATACTGGAAACATTCGTGGAATGTAGACACTGACAATTCTGCATCGCTTCTTAGCCTTTTGTTTAAGATCAAGTGTTCTTGTCAGTGTCCATTAGGGGGCTCCACCATCATTCTGGTGTCAAGGCAGGAATGGCTGATTGTATGGTATCCCTGCAGGTATTATCAGAGTTCTGAGTGATCTTCCTTTTGGGAAGAAATTTGAATCGAAAGCCCACCACATATGGTGGGGGTCGGTAGTACTTCCCTAACCTGGAAGGTTTCGAGGGGCCCAATGCCTCCTAATTCAAGTGGCGTTACCTTGTCTGGCCAGGATTTGGGGAGGCAGAGAACTTGCGGTGTTAAGCCCCTCCTGGGAGTGGTGCCCTGGAGTATCATTATGGGTCTGGGACCCCACTGTGAGAAAAGACACTAGTACACAACACTAAAGCTTTTTCTGCCTAATTCCTCATAGGTACGGCCTTTTGGTTAAAAAAAATAAAATTTAATTGACTATATTTATCAAATATAAGGTGCAAGAAGAGAGCAGTCAAGGTTCTTCTCAGGCATCTTTGTTACCAGTCTCTTTGCAGTTGTATGGGAAACATTCATGGAATGTAGCAGCTGACAATTTTGCATTACTTCTTGGCCTTAGTGTAGTATCTGTTCCTATCAGCGTCCAGTAGGGGCGTTCCACCATCATTCTTGTCTCATGGCTGGGATGGTTGTATAATATGCCTGCTGGTATGGGTAGGGGGTCCTAAGGGATCTTCCTTGTGGGAAGAAATCCAAATCAAGAGTCCACCATGGAAGTTGTGGGTCACTAGTACTTTCCTGGTTTGGAGGAACCTGAATGGCTCAGTGTCTCCTGATTCAAGTGGTGCTACCTTGTCTGGCCAGGGTTTAGGGAGGCAGAGAGCTTGCGGTGTTAAGTTCCTCCTGGGAGTGGTGCCCTGGAGATGCTCTGAGTATCACTATATGTTCTTCTCGGGCATCTTTGTTACCAGTTTCTTTGTAGTTATATTGGAAACATTCATGGAATGTAGCAGCTGCCAATCCTGCATCGCTTCTCGGCCTTTTGGCTAAGATGAAGTGTAAGATCTGTTCTTATCAGTGTCCAGAAAGGGGCACTGCTGTCATTCTGGTCTCGAGACTGGGATGGCTGATTGTATAGTATCCTTGCTGGTATGATGGGGATCCTGCAGGATCTTCCTCATGGGAAGAAAACCAAATTGAGACCCCCCCATGTAAGGTGTGGGTTGGTAGTACTACTCTAGTATGGAGGGTTCCGAGGGGCCTAGTACCTTCTGATTTGAGTGGTGCTACCTTGTGTGGCCAGGTGATGGGAAGACAGAAAGCCCACAGAGTTAAGCGCCCCCTGGGGGCGGTACCCTGGAGGTGTTCTGAGTATCACTATGGGTTTCGGACCCCTCTGTGACAATAGACCCTCACCCATAACAACAAAACTTTTTCTGAACAACTTCTTATAGGCTAGGCCTTTTGGCTGAAATCAGGGCAATTTTTGCTACCAGACTGCAAGGCCTAACCACTGTCTTACACATTGACACTTTAACATAGGGGTTAGATCAGATAAGTTGTTAGCTGCTAATTAACACTGGGAGATCTAATCAGCCATTTGACAGATATTATGAAAGTGCCTGCAATCTGACACTTGAGGAATCCAACTTGGTGCTCACTTGCACTAAAAAACAAAACAAAGACAATTAGGGTTCCCAATTCACCTTCCCCATCAGAAACTCTGGTGAGACCAACTGCTACTTAGGCTCAGTGGCACTTACAGTGCCATGAAAGAGTATTTGCACCCATCCTGATTTTTTTTTTTGTTTTTTGCATATTTGTCACACCTAAATAATTCAGATCATCAAACAAATTTTAATATTACACAAAGATAACCCAAGTAAATACAAAATTCAGTTTTTGCATGATTTTATTAAGAGAAAAAAGCTGTCCATGTGATTGACATATATCAGTCTGGGAAGGGTTACAAAGCCATTTCTAAGGCTTTAGAACTCCAGGGAACCATGGTGAGAGCACTTATCCACAAATGGGAAAACTTGGAACGGT